AGACTCCCTGTCTCCTGCATGCTGTTACTCTTCCCTAAAACTGTAGGCTAGCACATCCCTTGCCGCTTGCATCACATGCTGTGGTCTCAGGCCCAGCCCAGGGTTACATACTTCTGTTAGGTGTGCTGCTGCTCCTGCAGTCTTGGAATGCTGGAGGGCTGCCATGTGCTGTTGGTAAATACAGGCTGCAGTTTGACAGTAATCGCTGTCTTCCTGGAGTTTCAGAAGTTATCCACAGAAGCAAATGAAGTGAGAGCAAGCATTCTGCTTTCAGCGCCTTTCCTATCGGATGCTCCTTTCAACGTGGTTCAGTGTATTAACTCTGTAATAAAGAGCAAGTCATGTACTTGGAAATGTCCTGAGAGAAGAAGTCTTTCTCTCTTCTGGCCTTTAAAGAAGTTTAAGGAAGCAGGAGAGTGCCCTGTGACTGCAGCAGTGCCCTTCACCACACAAAGCAGCTTCTGCCCCATGGCCTCTTCCTCCTGAAACTCATAGTGTCTTCCCTTGCTCCCCCCAGTCCATCTATTAAAACTACTAACTTCTGGCCAGCCCCAGCTGACTTGGGGGAATGAAGGAAGAATTTTTCCTGTTTCTGCCTTCTTTGGTTTTAGGTTTGGAAAAGTCATAAAATGTTCATTGGTTTGCGTTGTGTGTGCTAGTGGTTTGACCTGGTTTCACTGTAATGTCTCATAAAGGAAAGAAAAATACTGGTTTGGAAAGGCACACATCTTTATCTGCATAAGGAAATCTAAATCCATAAGGAGCTTTTGTATTTCATACAGAAACTAAGTAAATGTTCTTAAAAAACAGAAGCAATCCTGTGTTACATATCACAGTGTGAATCTGACCTAGTTCCTCTTGCAGGAGTGGCCTTGCTGATAGGTAGAGCTATTGCAGTGGTCATGATTAGGCTGGTTGCTGATAGGTAGTGTTAGTGCTCCAGGTCATGATTAGCCTTTTCCTGCCCGAACCATTACAGCTGTGCCATCTGCAGCTGGAAGGTGTTTCAGGTTGGTGCCCAGGTTGTGCTTGGGAGATATTCTTTGTTATACAAGGTGTGTTTTCCTACCTCTGCGTGTTTGAATAACTGTATTCCGTTGCTGAGCGATGGGGGAGTGGTACCAACTGAAAACTCTTTTGCCTAGGGAAGGACTTCTTGTGCAAGTACTCAGTGGCTTTAAGCGGAAAGAGGGGAGATTTAGATTAGATATTAGGAAGTTCTTGCCTGTAAGGGCGCTGAGGTGCTGGCACAGGTTGCCCAGAGAAGCTGTGGCTGCCCCATCCCTGGCAGTGCTCAAGGCCAGGTTGGACACAGGGGCTTGGAGCAACCTGCTCTAGTGGAAGGTATCCCTGCCTGTGGCAGGAGGTTGGAACTGGATAAGCTTTAAAGGTCCCTTCCAACCCAACCCAAACTATGATTCTGTGACTTCGTCTCTCTTCCCTTGCAAGCTGCAGCAGTGGTATGAGGGACTGAAATACCATTGGAGAGATCATGCATCCATATCTGCTGCCTTTGCACACGCAGTATGCTGGTAAGGCTTCCATGTGAAGTAAAGCGAGATAGGTAAGCTTGTCTTGAGCTGAAATGTAGAAGTTTTGTATCAGGGACCATCTTTAAGCTGCTTTCTAGCAGTGGAAGAAAGAATCCAAAATAGTTGAAACATGGAACAAAAAGTGTAAAGGAAAAAAACCCCAAAGTTTGTAAAGAGCTCAGTCTAGTTTCTCTTCAGAAAAACAAATCCTTAAATAGAGGGTATCAGTTTAAAAGTTGTCATCTTGATGTCTTTCACACTTGAAATAAATCCTTTTTTAGAATTAGAGTAAGTTCATGTTTATTTGATGAGCTGTTTAGAGGCTTGCTTTAGTTTCACTGGTTTTATTTGGTTTTAAGTGATAGTGTGAGTTTGAGAAGCGTTGTGGATGCCATCATAGTTGTGTTAACCTGGTTGGGGGCATTGCCACTCTTGGTTAATCCCTTAGCCAGGAAAGGAGATCCTGTAATGGGATAATCCTTCACTTGAAAGACCAAACCCTTCTGTTTCTTGTCATCATCTTCTTTTCTCAGTTGTCTGCAAAATAACTGTGAGTAAAAATGGATGTTCCTGCTGCTTTTAAGATTATACAAACAAAAACACTGGTTGCTTTAAGAACCTGTATGTAACCAGGGCCTTTGAGATCTTCTTTAGGAAGCTGACCAGAAAACCCAAGTGGGAAGTTGGTCATCCAGAAGAAGTGTAAACAGGAAAGTTAGATATGTGCATTAGATTGAAAAAGTAATTGTTGGTACAGGCTGGGCTGATCGGAGCCATTTCAAGCTGTCTTGATTCATTCTTTAACCACAAACTAAGTGTGACAAGTTGTACGAAAGAGCTGTCATCAGGCATTCATGTATACTTAAGTGAAATGAAAAAGTAACCCAAACCCTGTTGCACGAAGTGCATTGTTATCCCATCTGTATGACTGACTCATCACCTTCAGCGGAGTTAAAGGAAAACTCCTGATACTTTGCTGCTTTTGGAAGAGTGGGGGAAGTATTTGCCTTGTTTATGGTCAAGTAATTCATTTGCAATCCATGTCAATGTTGCCATTGTACAAGAATTAGTGGGTTTATTCCAGAACAGCATGTTTGCACACATGTCTTCTGGAACAGCTTATCCTCAGAGAGCTGTAGTGTTCCATGTGCCTGGTCAGCAAGGCCAATCACATTGGCTTTTTGTAAACTGACATTGATTTCATAGAATCATAGAATGGTTTGGGTTGGAAAGGGCCTTAAGGTCATATAGTTCCAACCTCCTGCCATGGGCAGGGACACCTCACACTAGACCATGTCAACCATCCAACCTGGCCTTGAACACTGCTAGAGATGGGACCATTCATCACTTCTTCGGGCAGCCTGTTCCAGTGCCTCACCACCCTCATAGTGAAGAACATCTTTAGGCTGCTACTAACTGTACAACTACTCTACAGAGGCTGACTCATACTCTGCAAAGAGATGTGTGCAGCTAACAGTAATGAAAGGGAAGGTTATTTTTAGGCTAGCTAAAACTCCCCATGTGTCTGGCTTAGAATAACCTGCAAAGCCAGAGACTGAACACAAATGCTGTTCTTGATAAGATGTAGTTCTCCACACCCTTCCTTGTTTGTAATTTCCTTCCATTCTTCCCACTTTTCAACCTCGTGCTGCAGTTTTGGGTACGTTTCTCAGCAAGATAATTGCCAAATAATTGACTAGGGGTTAAAGCAGTAGCTTGGCCTGTGTGTTTTAGTACCTTAGTGATGTTGGACAAGCTGGCTAATGTTTGTTTCAATTCCTCTTGTTTGAGTCATGGCTCACCAGGTTGTTGTAAAGATGCATTCATGTGTCTTGGATGGCTTCTGATGTTAGACATGCAAGGTATAGCAGCTCTCTCGTGCAGTCCTATGAAAATAATACATTATTTCTGTCCCCATGAAAGTTAGAGTGGGAGATTAAACTACAGGAGCTAATGTGATAGGTTTTTTTGCACTTCAGTCAAATAGCACATGCTCCTTCTCAAAGCCTCTAGGTTTGCTCTGATGAAGCTAGTAGACTACCAGGGGAGTCGCACACCTAAGTGAGAGGGTTGCTTGTGGTTTTCTCTTTCTGTGTTTTGGGGTTTGTTTTGTTTTGCCTTTACCCCTAATAAATGTGAGGATATACTGGCTTTGGAAAATACACTGACTCAAATAGGTGATGATTCTGTTTCTAGTATAACGATAATCCCTGTAGTCAGTTGGGCTGCTTTTAATGATCTCCATAGCAACTACTTGCAGTAAAAAGTGAAAATAACTGAGTCATGCAGTTCTCTGCCAGATGATACACGTGAGCAATGTGCTAATATCTGTTTGAAACGTCACACTGGGCTAAGTGATGCCTACTCTGCTGGCAATGCTTTCCAGGCCTTCTCCTAAGCAGCAAGGAAAGGGGAGCTAGCTTTTGTTTGCGGAACTATTTGGTACAAGGAATGGACTTTTAAATGCCAGCTTTTGTGTCCCTTCACTTCTTGCTCCAGAATATTCCAATGGAACCAGGAAGGCTTGGTAGCAAGTAGTTTGCTTTTTACTCCATTCCTCTCTGCACGTGAAAAATGTCATTTTAAAGCTGTAAATGCTTTGGTTTGGTTTAGTTTGGACCTGCTCCTAACTAAGCTTTGAGAGAGAAATGGATCTCACAGATGAGTATCGTAGCTTCCTTAATGTCCTTATTTCTGTATCTCTGCTTCTTCTGTCTGCTTTGTATTTTGGCTTCACAGTTGTGTGTGTCCCTAATAAATATCAGGAGTAGTCATTAGAACCAGTATCTAGAATATGTGTTCTCTCCCTCTCACCGAGTGTTATCATGGTGTCTGACAGCTGTCTTCCTGCAGTTACTCATTCCATCTGAAAGGGTGAAATACAGAATTGCTTTGGAGCTGGAAGTGAGCAACATGTCAGGGATTGCATCAGAGGAGCCTTCTCTGAAATGGCTTGGATGCTTCTTGCCTTTCACATGCATACTTGGGGGTTTATTTTTTCAGAGGTGCATTTCCTGCTGGCTGCAGCCAGCCTTTCTTCTTTCAGAATCACACCTCTTTTAAATGCCTCTATGCCTTCTCTTTTTCTAAGCTAGCTTTCAAAGCTGGCCCAAGGGCACCAAAACTTAACTTGAAGATTATGTTATGGACCCCTGTGGTGGGGGTAATGGTGGGAGAGTTAGCACCTCTGGATGCCTGCCCTGGAGAGCTGCTGTTTGTTCTGAGCTTCTCAAAGAAGGGCTTTGCAATTAAATCTGTGCTTTGCATTCAGTGCCAAAAGAGAGTTTTGAAAGATGTGTTGTATGAGGTGTTCTTCTGGGAGATGTAGTAAGTGCCTGGCAGTCCTGTGCATGGAGATGTTTAGTCTATGGCTTAAAATGTGACTCTTTTCCTTTAAGCTTTTTTGCACTGAGCTTTAGGAACATCTTGTTTCACACTTAACTCTATGTATTTGTATGTCTGCTGCAGGAATCCCTTGAAGCTCTCCCTGGGAATGGACAGCTACCTCTATTTCTGGAGGAGAGTCGTGGCACTTGAAGAAGCCTTCAAGGCGAGTCGACAAGGGTGCTGATAACTCTGGGAAGAGCACAGGGAAGGGGCCGCCTTCCAGGCCAGCAGCCATGCCTTTCGGGCTGAAGCTGCGACGGACCAGGCGCTACAACGTCCTGAGCAAGAACTGCTTTGTGACAAGGATCCGTCTGCTGGACAGCAATGTGATCGAGTGCACCCTCTCCGTGGAGAGCACGGGGCAGGAGTGCTTGGAAGCTGTCGCTCAGAGGCTGGAGTTACGTGAGGTAAGAGGATCTTGGGAAAGACCATCTGTCACTGTATAATGTGACACGTTTTGATCCCAGTTGGGCAAGCTGTTCATTTGAATCGTGGTATTCTCGGAGCTGGAGCTTGGGCAAGCATACTCTGGCTGCATGGAAACTGAAGGCGGAACAGCACTTGGGGTTCTGTGCTCATTCATCAGAGCTCTGAGAGCTCTTTGTAGTGTGAAGATGAGCTTGCTTCTTCTCTTAGAAAGAGATGGGTGTTACTTGTTGAACTGCGATGCCAAGGGCCGAGTTACAGTGAGTTTTGACTGAACCTAACCCTGGTTTCACCAATGCTGGTGACTGAATTATGCCAATGGGAGGGAATCACTGGCTTTTAAGCGTCCACCTTCCTATCCTTGTTTCAGAGAGAAGCAACAGTTGTGTTAACACCAAGGCAACCTGTAACAGTTTGAGGGTGGTGTTTTTTTCCTTCATTTAGTTTAACTGAAATATTTTACATCTGAAACTCTAAAAGGCTGCTTTTACATTTCCAGTGCTTCTGAAAAGGATGAATAACTCAGTCTTACTTTCTTAAAGACTGAAATCCTTTATTGTCTACTTCTCGCTGTTTGGTGTTATTCTGAGTGTTGAGATGCTTTATAGAAATCTCTCTCCAACCTGCCTGGCACAAATGAACTGTGTTATCTTACTTTCTATGGACTCCTTACATGCATCCTGCATACTTCTAGGCTTTTGCAAATCACAAGTTGAAAACCACGCTTGGAAGTTGCTGCATTATCATGACTGTCCTGGCTGATGCTTTCTCTATGCACAGCTGGGGAATCTAATCATCATAGAATCAACTAGGTAATCTTGCAGTGTGTTACATTTGTTGTTCCATGGCAATGGAGCAACAAATGTAAGACATTAAGAGTAATGCTGGCAGCTGGAGCGTGGCATACAAATAACTAGTGCAGATGAAAACCAAACAAAAATCCCTTTTTGTACATCAGTAATGATAAAGAGTGAGAAAAGAATCTCTGTGTGTGTGTGTGTGCAGAGTAGTCAGGAAAGGGCAGACTCTGAATATTGCATAATAATTTTTCTTTCTTGGATTTTACATAGATTTTGGTAGAATAATTTTCCCCCTTCCCTTCTAGGAGTCAGGATTTCCCAGAAATTGCTTGTTTTCCTTTCTTTTTATTCTTTTTTTTTCTATTAGTGCTGCTTTAGGGTGTCCTCACAGAGAGGTCAGGTCCTTCCCTTCAGTGCAAAAAGGAGTTAAATGAATGATGTGATTCTCCTCATATTCCTTGTGGGCTTATAGAAACATGGAATGATTTGGATTGGAAAAGACCTTACGATCATCCAGTTCCAACCCCTCTGCCATGGGCAGGGACACCTCACACCAAACCATGTCACCGAAGGCTCTGTCCAACCTGGCCTTGAACACTGCCAGGGATAGAGCATTCACAACTTCCCTGGGCAACCCATTCCAGCGCCTCAGCACCCTCACAGGGAAGAGCTTCTGCCTTGGATCTAAGCTGAACTTCCCCTGTTGAAGTTTGAACCCATATCTACTTGGTAGAGTAGAAGTCTGGGGGCTAATGGCTCTCTCTGGAGCTTCACCTGTGTTTGTGCACAGCAGTGCCGTGTGGGTCAGCATTCTTTTCCACAAAGCATGTTTTGATTTTTTGAATGTGTTTTTTTCCACTTGGGAACAAAGCCTGAAGTTTCGGAATTTTCCAGAGAAAAGAGATTGGGCAGTAGAGCAGCAAAGGAAGTTGTTCTGCTCAGTGTTCAATTCCACAGGCTTCTTCTGTTGCTTTGGTTTCTTTCATTTTCAAACTGATTTGTGTCATGCAAAAAGAAATATGTCAGCAGAAAATGTTTGTGTTTCGAGATGAAAAATACTTTAACAACACAGAAGAGAATGCTTTGATGTTGCTGGAACACTTTCCCCTTCTTTCATTACCCTCCCTGCCTTTTTTTTTTTTTTTTTTTCCAAACAGTTTTGGCAACATTGAACCCATTTTGTAAGGTTCAGATTTCAACAGGAGAGCAGTTTTTGACAGAAATTGTTGCCTGTCTTTTTTTTTTAATCTCCTTTTCTGGTTGATTCTGGTAGCATCCGTTGCTGCTTTCACTGTTTAGGGGAGAAGGGAATTACTGACCTCTTTCATAGAATCCTAGAAGAGTGAGGGTTAGAAAGGACCTTAAGATCATCTAGTTCCAACCCCCTGCCATGGGCAGGGATGCCTCACACTAGACCATGTTGCCCAAGGCTCTCTCCAGCCTGGTCTTGAACACTGCCAGGGATGGGGCAGCCACAGCTTCTCTGGGCACCCTGTGCCAGCGCCTCAGCACCCTCACAGGGAAGAGCTTCTGCCTTAGATCTGACCTGTACTTGCCCTGTTTCAGTTTGAACCCATCACCCCTTGGCCTATCACTACAGTCCCTGATGAAGAGTCCCTCTCCAGCATCCTTGTAGCCCCCTTCAGACACTGGAAGCTGCTCTGAGGTCTCCACGCAGCTTCTCTTCTCCAGGCTGAACAGCCCCAATGTTCTCAGCCTGTCTCCATAGGGGAGGTGCTGCAGCCCCTGAGCATCCTCGTGGCCTCCTCAGGACTTGCTCCAGCAGCTCCATGTCCTTCGTATGTGTTCTCTTAACAATTTTTGTTTGTTGCTTTACCTTCATGTTAGCAATACATCCATGAAGACTATTTCTTCTGTCCACATACCCCTATTAAAAAGCCAAAGTGCTTGAGATTACTGTAGGCATTGTTGTGAAGGACTGTCAGTTGTGATACACATGACTGAAAAACGGTATCTAATGGATTATGCATATTTCTGTTTGATCTCTGGGGAATGCAGCTCCCTCCCTGCCTGAGTCAGGGTTCAGGGGTAGGTCAGTAGAAAGTGTAGCCATGTAACTACTGTAAAACCCAGTTTTATCCTTTTCAGCAAAGCTCTTTACAAAGCATCAGGTCTCCTAGTTGAACAATTACTGCTTCCAATGAAATGAGCTCTTAGGCCAGCGTTAACGTAAAAAGTAAAGATGAGAAGAGGGGAGGAAGAGAAAGAGAGAAAAGACAAAGTCAGAAATGGCATTTTATGCTGTTTTATGTATATGCACAGATTACAAAAAGGATATTTTTCGCTAATGTAATGGCATTTTTCCCTTCAAGTGAGACTAAGTGAATCTGCTTGCAATAGCAGAGTAATCTGTACAACTCTGTTGCGAGCCTTCACGTCTCTTTCTCCTTTTTGTTCCCCCTAATTCAATTTGCAAGATGATAAGAAGTTCAAAGATGGAATGTGCTGACGTGTTGTAAGGGGGTGGGATGGGAAGAAGGTCCTTTCCAACCAAAATTACTCTTTCAAGCTCTGTTTCCCAATGGTACCTCCAGCACTGAGGCGCTGCAGGATGCTAGTGGACTGAGCACATCAGGCAGATGCTGACTGCTTTGGTGGCCATTTGCTGCTGTTCTGGCCTTGCTTTTTGTGTCCTCCTGAAAGCCTGTTTTTGGCAGGTAGCTTGCCTTGCAGTTTGACTTGCTTTGACTTGTCTTGCAGCAAAGCTGGGATAGGGTTCAGGCAGCGCTTGGACAAGAGACCTTCTAGGAACACTTGGCCGCTGGAAGTGGTGCGAGGGCCCTGGGATAGCAGGGTTTAATGCTTTTAGCCCAGAGGAGCTGGAACTTTGCCTCTTCATCAAGGATAAATATTTACTTGGCCGCTTAACCAGATGCTTTAATAAACACTGAGCCTGTCTTGTTGGATCCTTTTGAATAAGATTTGCTGGTTTAGTAAGTGGCTGTCATCTGCTGTTGACAATTCTACTTGCTTTGCCTGACGTAAAGGCAGGGGTAGTTCTGGATTTGGTACTGTAGCTAAGTCCCAAACAAGTATGTTGCCTTCTAAAGTGGCAGCTATAATGTCGTCTTTTTGAAGACTTCTCAGCACAGGTTTTGGGTATCCAGATTTCTTTCCTGGCTCACCATATCTTGAGGATGAGCTTTTCACACAGAGGTGTTGCGATGTGCAGGTGCTCTGGTTCTTGTCTGCTGCTTTAGCAGAGGACTGCAGGTCCTGGAGGAGTGTAAGCCTGGTTCCTTGTGCCACTTATGGAATCGTGTGTGGTAGGCAAGGCAGATTTTTAAACCTTGAGAGGAAAATGAATGTAAGCTCTTTTCTAACAGAGCTCTGTATTTGCAGATTTAGCAGACCAAAAGCAGTAGCAACTGAAGATCTTTGTCTGTCAGATGGATGTGTGTGCATACATCTGGCACTAAGAAAAGTTTTCCTTCGGTGTGTATCATCAGTCTGTCAATTGTGACTGGAAACATCATTCACTTTCTTTGCTAGAGCAGCCCATGATACTTCAGAGCCTGCCAGGGATATGTCTAGACACTTACTCCATGAATACTGGTCAGTGGTTCACTTTGTATAGATGGACAAATGGACCAGCTTTTGGAATCAACAGTGTTTTCAGTCAGCTGCTTACAGAGGAAAAGATCCTATTTTTATATCCCCTCATCCAATTTGTGGGGTATCCCTACTCTGAAAATATTTTGTGGGCTGAAGTGTATAGCAAACATGAAATGGATTGTGTAAGGCCCTTGAGACAGTCTTGCCTTGTGATAGCATACTAAACTTGATGATCCAGCCGTTTCCAGTCCCATGTTGCTCTGTTCCTCTTTGGGCATTACTCATGTTCTTAGGGAATAGAATCTTTTCAGGCATTTGCTGTAGTGGCTACACAAGTCCTTTCCCACTGTGGATGTTTAAAAATGCTGACGTTCTCAGGAAGTGAAGTTCGTAGTGGCAGGGAGCTGATAGTCACACAACTGTGTTGGTTATGGTTGGTTTGGTCTCTCCAAAGTGCATTTGTGACTCAAGCACTGCCCTGCAGTCCCTGTGCTTCGTCTGCAGTAGCTTGATCCTCTCCAGGATGCTTTCATAGAAAAGTTATCTTTCAGTTCCATGAAATGCCTGCTGCTGTGGTCAGCCCACTGTGTCTGCTGGAGTCTAGAAGCTTAAACACTGCATTCCCTTTGGTTCTTAACCCTTGGAAGTGATTCAGGGTTGTGGATTTGGTACCTGAAGAGCCTTTCTGTAGCAAATCTAAATTTTTGTTGTCCTCCTGCCCTCCTGTGCTCTTTTGAGCTGTTTAATTGCAATACCCTCATAATCCCTCGAGTAACTCTTTTAGTCTTCAGGCTCCAAATCATTTTAGTTGCTAGATCTTTTACAAGTACTTGACATGGCAACTTTGGGTCCTAGGTGATGTGAATCACCTTTTTACAATCATATGGAAGATCTGTTTCCACAGCTCTGCACTGTTTCTTGCTGAGATGAGCTGCCCTGCAGTGATTTGAAAGATTTTCTGCGTTAAAGGATTTCCCTTATGAGGTGGTAAAATCACTGCTTTTTCCTGCCTTCTTGTGAATTCCTTCCCGTTGCCATCTCCGCTGTACCTCCCACCTTCATTTTGATCTGATTACTATCACGGGGAGCTTGTCAGTAAGAACGTTTTATCCAGTGATGGCTACAGAGGGAGATCAGACACGTATCAGTGAGTTGGTTAGGTTTGGTTGAAGTTTATCCTATGGAAGATGCTGACTTCTTGATTTATTTGTGCCCTGGATTGATGGATTTATTGAAGATACCTTTAAATTCTACAAGGAAATACTGTATTGATTCTCTTCAAAAAAGGAACACTCTTGCTTCACCGTACCAAAGTGAGCTCAAAGAGAAAGGGCTCAGCACTGTTCACTGTAGTCTGGTCAGGCCTAACTGAGGAATCAAGTTGAATTAGGTATCACCTTAGTTAAACATTGCTCTAGCCAAGCTGTTGATGGGGGCTTTTGCAAAGAGTAGTGATTACAATTTGTCTGCTGCTTTTGAAGACTTTATATATCAAAGCATGAACTTGTGGGAAATCCAGTTGGTGAAATGGTGGTGGTTGATTTAAAGGCCAAACTTTCTGAATGCATTTAAAGGCCAAACTTTCTGAATGCATTTAAAGTGTTTTCAAATGAAAGCTTTATAAAACAGCAAATAGAGGTTTTTCTAGTCTTTCTTCAAATATCTTTATTTAAAATCTGGTGCTATATATAAAGGATTTTGACTGCCTGTGGAAGGACTGTTGTCCACGTAAGTTAAGCTATAACACCACAGTAAGTGTTGTGTGTGTTTTAGGCTTAATTTAATCCAATGGAAAGTTCTGGGAAGTCTTTATGGAATAGGGAATGGCTGGATTAAATTCCAAGAAACTTTCTTGAAATAAAATCAGAGAAATACACAGGAATAGGAATGATCCCACTTTCAAGTCTTGCTGCCCACAAAAGTTCCTGTCGCAGCTCCAGTGTCTTCATTCCAGTGTTTAGTACGGAGTGGTACCGTGTATTGAAGGCACTGCTGGAAATATCCAGATGCTTTCAGCTGAAATGCTGAAGATGTTGAAACAAACATCACAGTTAGGCTACAGTCAGATTTCCAAGCAACTGAGGGATGAGTTCCTTTGCTAAATATGAATGCTTTTTTCTCCTTTTCTCCATATCTGTAGTTGTAGTGCTTGCTGTTAATTACAGTATGCATTTGCCTGCAGTAGTGCATCAGTGTATTTAATGCACTGGTTGAAGAGCTTTTCGGTAGAACCCTTCATGATGGATGGGCTATTCCTTCAGTTGCTTATTACCCATTTGTCGTATTGGAAGCTCCAGTTCTGAACACTGTTCCTTGTTAATTGCTCTCCACCAGCAACAGTCCTGTGTGGCTTATACAGGAGGTGACTACAGACTTACACAGGTTAGGAAATGGCTGAGGTTTTTGATCAGGTATTTCTGTAAAAGCCTAGAGCAAACAACTTGTGTGCTGCACGTTTTCAGTGTATCCATCAGAAAACCTTGTGAATGCATTAAACAAGTAAACACACTCTCTATTGGGTTCTGTTATTGGTAAAAACACTTTGACACATATGTGTAGGTTTGCGTTCTGCTTTTTATAGTTGGAAGAGTCCTAGTCCTTTGCCTGCAGTGATCCAGAGTCTCCTGAAGCCTTTGTGCTTTGATTCAGACCTAGTGTTTGCTGTCTGTTCACAAGGCTCAGTGTAAAAGAAGACAAAGAGTCAGACACTCTCTGTAAATCATTTATGTAACCTGTGCTATAATGTCAGCTAGAGCTCTTTCAAGTGCACTTGAAAGAGATGGGAAGGGGCAGATAGTACTCCGTGAAGTTTATTGCAATATTCGTCATTGCCTTCAAGATTGTCCTAAAAATAAAGGGCAGCAAAAAAGAAATTACTCTGATTTTGCATATGGAAAAATGTACACAATGCCATCTGTTCTTATTTGCACTTGTGTCATTGATAGCGTGTGTGTGATCTCGCTGAACAAGGTAAACTGACACTCTTTGCTTTCTTTATCTAGACACACTACTTCGGCCTTTGGTTTCTCAGCAAGAGCCAGCAAGTCCGCTGGGTTGAACTGGAAAAACCTCTAAAGAAGCAGCTGGACAAATTTGCCAATGAGCCTTTGCTTTTCTTTGGGGTGATGTTCTATGTGCCCAGTGTTTCCCGACTGCAGCAGGAGGTAACAAGGTATGTGCTTTTCCTCTGTTCACACTATTGTGATACAGCTAGGAGGGAACAGGCAATTGCTCCGTTTCTGGCACTCAGTATTTGCTTAGGTATCATGTGGTTCTTTCCTTTCCTGGTGATTGTACAAATGGGGAGAAGTTAGAGAAGTCACCTCTTGAATTATATCTGTTTTGGAGGTGGGAGCAATACCGGTGAATGATTATACATGACTAGCTGCAGGAGCGAAAAGGGAGAAATAAATTCATGTTCAATTTTAAATGGGACCATGGTGAGCATAGTCTTTTTTGTAACCTACTGATTAAGAGGAAGCCATAGGCAAAGGACCTCTATATACAGCTTTTGTGTATTACTCTTATGTCTGCCTGTGCTTTGCTGAAAGTGAACTTTGGCATCTTTTCTGGGGTTTGCCCATCCCACTCCTGATTTTTTCCCCTTACACTTCACAAAAGGAGGAAAATTGTTAGAGGGCATTATTCCTTTAATTATGTTCAGGGTGTACCTTTGCAAACAACTCGAGTGGGAATTGCTCTTTTATTCAGAGACCTGTGCTGCAGTTGTAACAATGCAGCTATTTTGAGGGGCTATTTCTTGTAAACCACATCACTGTGTGGTTTTTGCACATCTGTGCTGTCTTTGAATGTAAAAAAGGAGGAGAAAACAAGCCCACCTCACCCCGAAATGGGTGGGCTTGTTTGCTTTTTAACCAAAATTATTTCATTTATCTGGTCTACAGCAGAGTTGCATCAGCACAACTAAAGGTAAAGCCTGGGATAAGTGGGTGAGGGCCACCGGGTGCCAGAAGCATCCACACTGAAAACAGTGTTCTGTTGCTGCAAACCTGCACGTGGTCATCGTGGCTAAATGAATAGTGGAGGAAAAAGTGGCTTTTTCTTTATATTGCATTGTTCATATTGAAGTTAATGTATTTTAAAGGATTTCTTTGAACACTGGAGAATTGACTTTGGTGGGGTGTGACAGATTCGCTTCTTCAAGTGGCAGCTGTCGAGCAGTCCCTTGCCTACTGTATGTGCAGAATTGTTGCCAAACAGTAGACTGAAAGCATCACAAAGTTTCAGTTTCCCTGGGAATAGACTGAACATCAATGCTTGGCTGTGTCTGTGTGTTCCTGCTTTGTGCATGTTGGGAGAAGGAAGCCTTATAGCTTTTCCTTCAGAATCCTTTAGCATGCAGTCAGAATGCCTGTTGCTCACTTTTGTCAGCCTAAGCCTTGCCTAGCTGTGCGTGAGGTAGCATTGTAGCTACTTGGATGCTATTACCTCTTCAAGCTGCAGCCTGCAGTGCTGATTGCTCATTCACAGCTCACCTGCAGAGATGTATTTGCTCATTCTTCCCAGGTTGGTAATAACAAAACATTTCAGTGACAATTGCACTTCACAACACTCAGTTGGAGTGGCTGCTGAATTGGGTTTCTCTCTGAAAGTGATTGATAACAGAAGCTGCAGTCTTATAAGTGCCCCTTATGTTTCTTTAAATGTCTGTAGCAAACCCAGCAGCTCCCTAATGGATCTCTGGTACAGAATAGCCTGATAAGATTTTTGCTTGTTTGCTTCCTGAAGTGTGGAATTGCTTTACTGTGATGATGTGATGTAGGTGATATGATGGCACGAAACCTTCAACTGTGCAATTCTAGGTAGATGCGGTAAATCTCATGTTTGAAGCAGTGTGGTGGAGGAGATGGAGGACTCTTCTGAACCAAATGGTGGAGAAAGACTTAGTCTAAAGTGTGATTAGATGGGCAGGTGGGGAGGTTGGGTATTTCTTTGTTCACTCTTGGTAAGCAAACTGATCTGAAATTGAGATCGGCTGCTTTTAGGATTAAGTTTGATCATGATATGATTATGTGTGACGGTGAGGTAGGCACTAGACTCACCCACTCAGGGCCTATGTATTTGACACATATTTACATATGTGACAAATCTGTCTTCAATGCAGAGCTTGCGATCAGACTCCATCTCCTTCTGGGCAGCTGCAGAACCACCACCACCAAACCAATCCATCACCAAAGGCTGAAGCTGCAAAGCAAGTGACAGGACTGCTAGCAGTGAACCTGTTGCCTTTGTAACCTTCTCTCGGTGAATACATTTCCAGCCCTGAGCCTTCTTGGCCATTGCTGGAGCTTGAGGTGAAACCCATCTCTCAGTCCAGGCTTTTAGTTAGGAGTAGACTCCAGAATTTCCAGGATTGATTGATATTCCTTGAAGATGATGGAAAGTCTTCCAAGAAAACTTAAGCAAATGCATAATCCACAAGTACTCAAAACTCAAAGAATTTGATTACTGAGATGGCTTATATATTATGTATTTATATTATATATTATGCATATTATATATAATATTAAATATTTTTATATAGTATATATTATGTAGTATATTTTATATATTAGGTTATGGGGTTTTTGCTTGATAGCTGTTTTTGAGAGATTTGTCCTGAATTGACTACTCCTCCCTGCTTCCCGCAACTGCACCTCATGTGCTGTCATTGCAAAGAGGAAAAATGATCCAAGGCTTTTAGGCTTTGATGGTCGAGAGGAGCATTACTTGTGGGGTTGGTCAGTGGCTTTAAGGCAGTGTTCCTAAATCACTTTTATCTGAAATACCGTGTGACTCATCTGAACAATCTCTGGACCATTTGTGTTCTGCTATTGCTTGGGACTGACAGGAGGAAACCTTGTACAAAAAGTTCATACTCAGGTGAAACAGGATTTATTTAGAAAATGTAAACTTCTTTCCATTTTATCATTACTGTTGGAAGCCTGAAATGCTAATTTTGCCTGCAGGATCCTGAATTCGATGCAGGCTGGGGGATGGAGGGATAGAGAGTACCCCAGAGGAGAAGGGCTTGGGGGTTACTGGTGGATGAAAGATTGGACATAACCCGGCAATGTGTGCTTGCAGCCCTGTCTCTTCAAAGATCTCAGTGACTCCAGCATCAACCCCACCTCTCATCCTGGCATTCCACCTGGCCCCAGTCCCCCAGACATCTTCCAGGGACAATTATGAATTAAAGCCCCATGATAATTTCTGAAGGTGTCAGTAGGAGTTTCACCATGTTGTCATTGCTGTAATTTGGAAGTTTCTAGAAGAATTTGTGATAAAGCACATGAAAAAAACAAACAAAACCACCCCTCTCTATACTTGATGACAGCTACAGCAGGGGCCACTTGAGTGCGAGTGGGGGGGGCTTGGCACATTAGCAAAAGGCACTTTTCATGGGAGCCTACTGAGGGACAACCTCTTTCTACTCACCCAGCTGCTCTTGGAGTGAGCAGCCATCGCAGGTGGAGATGTTGCCTGTGCTTCTGGCATAGTTAAAGCACCTGGGATGTGCATACTGTCTGATATAAAGAAGTCTTTGTGATGCCTCGTAGATATTTGCATAGATTAGAAATATCAATCTACCTTTTATTTTCTGCTGACCCGTCAGAGGGGAGGCATCCTGTCAACCATTTACTACTTAAAAAATCACGTTGTGCAGTGTCTAAAGTAAACAAGCTTCCTTTCACTGTGCTCTTGTTCCAAACCCAGAGAACCCACACACTCCTGTGGCTTTCTGACAGTGTGGGTGCAGTGCTGCTTTCTGCACAAGTATCAGACAACCCATGGTCTTCCCCCTCACCCTTGCAGTTCTGAGGTACTCTCAACAGTATCTTTCATCTTCATACATGTTACTGCTGTGCCTTCTATGAAAGAATAAAGATGTGCTTGGGTCTGCCTTTCCTGTTTCCTTTCTTGGAAGAAGCTTTCAGTATCCTACTACATGTTCTGAATCCAGTCATACCAAGTAGTGTCTGTGCTGTCCAGATTGGGGCATAATCCTATAAAGCAAGAGCAGCTCCTGGTGTGGGTGCCACCAGTGGGTCCCCATTGTGCTATGCATGGGATATCTGGTGTTCACAGCTATGCAGGGAGGGACATACCCAGCATCTGCACTGGGCTGCACTGGGTTTTTGCCATAAGTTTAGCTGTTAGCTCTGCATTTTCCCTGAAGAACGTGCGGTGCAGCTTTCCTGGGAAAGAAAACACAAGGAGTGCTTGGAATGGAATAGCTGCACCTGCAAAGTGTGGGAATGAATGTGTTTGCAGGTGGAAAATCAGAGCCTGTGGCTGTCAGGCCTCTTTTCTGGAGGGCCTGTGAAAAATGAGCCTCAGATTTACCCTTCTTTAAGAGAACATTTATTTCCTCTCATGTTTTGCCTCCTTACCATTTTCTTCACCATTTCTTGTAGCTGCTTTTTCTGTTTGTCTTTTAGAGAAGTACTTCTTCACAATTCTCTGCCTTTCCCTCTTTTTTTCCTTAGGTGTTAGATGAAGAATTACTGAAGAGGTGTTAATCTGAAACATAATCTCAGGACTGTATGAATTTTTAAATCACATGAGGATAAAGTAGAGGGAATAAAAAATAGTGTTTGACTGCTTCATGTTTACAAGGAAAAAGGTTCTGGCAAATCTACTTATTTGGTTTTGTCTTTTATAAACTGGACTTTTTTTTCCTTCTCAAAAAAGTCCTTCTTAAATGTCTCACCTACTTGAGCTTATCTTGGCTTTTAGTCTGCTTTGCTTGCCTGTTTTTGAACAGGCTAAAGTTTCACAGCCTCCTGTGTCACTAGCTTTTAATACAAGCACAGCCAGATGGAATCTTGTGCCAGTCACCACTGTCTTTACATGGTGCTTTGAATTGCTGATTTGAGGCTGGATATTCCATATCCTCCTGTGCCAGCCTGGTTCTATGGTAAGCTCGATGGTGTGGAACTCCTTTGGGTGTTAAGGTTTAAGGTAAACGCGTCTGCTTTGTTCTTCATGCTTGGTCAGACCTGCAGCTTGTGACTGCCTGAGAAGTCTGTGTGTACCTTAAACTTGAGCCTTGTGGTGACTTCATTGTCCAAAATGGTTATTCTGCATATTGCACTGTGTCAGGAAAAAGCAGCACTACATGTGCTGTCTGATTTGATCAGACCTTAGCTGTGCTTGCCTGAAGTGATG